TATACACCAAATGCAGCACGCGCTACTAAATTAAGATAAATTAAAAAAAAACCCATTAAAAATGGGTAAAAAAGGTATAATGTTTTTGTGCAAATGTATGTAACAGGCAGAAGGAAACATCTCCGACCCCATAAAGTATATATATATTTTTGATCAGCATCAATAGCCGAGTCGATCTAGCCATGTCCGTCTGTCCGTATGTATGAACGCAAGGATCTCAGAACCTATAAGAGCTAAAAGAATTAAATTCGTTTCACAAATACATCAAATTCACAGTGGAACTAGAACAAGACGGGAAGCTACCATTTTTAGACGCATTTGTAAGCAGAGTGGACACTCAATTAAGTGGTATATGGAACTCATAGCCTCTGGACGAATACTAAACTTTAACTCTAACCACCCAAAACGTATGATTATAAATACAGCACTAAGCTGTATGAGAAGACTGACAAACATATCGGACGCAATATACCATAAAGAAATTGATCACGCTATTAAAACACAGAAGCCAACGGTATCTACAAAAATATACAAATCTCTATCATATGTACCACGATTAGACAAGAAATAAAAGTAGCCCATAAGCCCACAAATACGTTTCAAAAATTGTTTAATAATACAAAAGCGAAAATACCAATGATGGACAAAAGTAACGTCATTTACAATATACCATGTGGCTAGGACAACAACAATATTTTCAACAGCGTGTACATCGGCACAAAAAAATCCAAGCTAAAAACAAGAATAACTCAACACAAATCGGACTTCAAATCAAGACATCAAAATAATATACAAAAAACAGCACTTATGTTACACTGTATACTGTACACTGCTTGTTTCTCGGTGGGCCGCGCCGGCTTGGCTCATCGGTTCTCTGTGTGCAGTTCCATCCCTGGCCCGCAGTCCGCATAATCGATTTCAACAAAGCTACGTCTGTAGCAAATCAGACCTACCTATACTAGACAATAGACACTATTTAAAATGATCCACATAATCGATAACAACAAACAGTCGGAACTTCTAACAAATGAACAAGACTAACAGCTGTAACAACAAGAAAAGGTAATCAACAAAGGTGAGACGCTCAATATAAATTAACAAAAAAACACTATTTATCCACTTTACTCTTCCAGATCGGGTCCCGGCTCCGGACCCAGAGTACCCGCGCTACCTGAGACGATCACCTGATCTCGTCTCCCTCATTTTGGCCACTAGATGGCCTTTAATCAGCCCGTGTCGGCTGTCATGCCCCCTCTTCCCATCAATTGAAACTTAGCAGGACATTTTTTCCCTCAATATGTGCGTATAATTACTTACATTTTCCTCAAATTAGAAACAATTAATATTATTGCTTATCGCATTTATCTTTGCAGCCCTTTTACAATCTAATGCAAGTGGACATTTCTTATAATTTTGTGCATATTCTTATAATTATTGACAATGTGTATTAAGTTCAAAAATGTTAATTTTTGCCAGGCGACGAAAACACTGCCAAAGTTATTGCCAGTCAACAAAAAAAAAACAAGGGGAAAGATACTAATATCAGGTAATTATTGCACCAATGGGGGAGCAAGTGCCCGCTGAAATAAATAAGTGTATATATATGTGTCACCAAGAAAGAAGTTATATACGTGTCAAAAGCGCTTATTATACCTTGCCTGCCTAGAGAGCTCTCTGGGAGGGGGCATGACATATATGCACATATAAGCGGGTATCGCTCGTGCACAAATTAACAATCTAATTATTTTCCTTTTTTATTTATTTGGCAGACGCAATAATCTTTGGGGCATTTCCTTCACCGTTCGCACTTTCGGAAATTTTCTGAAGTGAAACTATGCATAATGTACAGGTATGTATTCATACAATAAAACTAATTCTAATGATGGCAAAAAAAAATATGTTTTCTCCGTCAGGGGTCTCGAACATGAGTCTTCGTTTGACTCTGCTTGTAACTCGGGGCGAAGAAGGACGACATAGAACGGACTCACTCTGATGATGTGTGCGCGGTCTCGCCCGTACCCCGCTTCTTGGCCTATCCTTCTGGATAGCGTTGGTGACACGTGCGACGAGGGTATGGCTGATGTGCGCCGCTGCGTCGAAACCTGGCCTGGGAGTGACTCTGTTGGTCCTCTCTGGTCCGAGAGCTGATCCCTTCGTTGCCGGAACCCTGGGTCGTTTATTTTATTATTTGTCTTATTTGATTTTTTCGTCTCGTCTCGCATGTAAGATTTACGTTTTTCGGCAACACCATCGGACCGAATTTCGGCACACGCAGCCCATCTGCACAGCTGCACTTTAGGGTCAATGGCCCAGTTGTACGCCAAGGGCATGTCAAGGGCACCCGATCCGCTCTCCTCCTAATCTCGCTATGAGCAAATCGGTTGCCCAATCATGCTCGCTCAATGGCATTACCCTTCTCTGCGCAGTGGATCGCAAGCCGGGCCTTGCCACTTTTCAATTAATTTGGCGCCACTGTGTGCCCGGTTTCACCCCCGCTACTCTGCTCATACGACAAAAAGATAATGGCGTGGCCGATAATAAAGAACGCATCCAACTAGGTAAACTATCGATGCTGCCAATTATATCAAATGCAATAACCAAATTTCGATACGACAACAATTTCACAACAAGAACAACATCATAACAAAAGACATATGTACATTAGAAATGTTACACATAATAAACACACCAAACAACAGAAGACTAAACTACAAAACAGACACCGAAAACTGCGCTCACTTATACAGACATCTATTGAATTGTCAAACAAAATGTTTCAACCTCCACGTCAAAGAGCGCAGACGTGTAAAACAATGTATGTTTTTTTAAATTTTTAAATTGTTACGTAATTGTTTTAATTTTATTTAATGTATTTTCATTTTAATTGTTTTTTTGTTTTTATGCACATTGGTTTAATTTCAAACAAATTGCATTTTCCTTTTGTCTTGGATAAAAAAAAAAACCTCGAGCCAGCCAAACAAACAATTATAAATAGCTTATATTTAAAATACAACACTGAAGATTTTGGGGAGATTAATTAATCTTTAAATAAAGTGAATTTATTTTAGTAATTTATAAAAATAATAAGAATTTTATTTTTACAATGAAAATGTAAAGTTTTATTTTAAACTATATATGTAAATAGAAGTATAAATGGAATTTAACCATTAAAAGAAAAAAGCATCATTTACTTGATCACCATACTTCTCTAATTGGAGTATTTACTCAATTTTATCGTTAACAGTGATAAGCCTCTATTTTGGCTTCAATTAAAGAATAAGGGTAAAATTACCTAAGATTAGGTCGAAACTAAATGCAATATATCGCTTCATATTCAGTTTATTGTATAAGGTAGACTGAAAAATACCTATAATTCATTAAGTTGATCAATTTAATATTCCTTGGTTCCATTCATGGTATAAACTAATTAATAAAAAAAAAATAAAGATAATTGAAGTAATAGGACAAATTATTGAGTTTGAAAATTTAAAAATAATAATTATAGGAAGATTAAGAGCAGTTTCAACATCAAAAATTAAAAAAATAATTGTGTTTAAAAAAAATCGTAAGGAAAAGGGGAGTCGAGAGGATGATTTTGGGTCAAATCCACATTCAAATGGTGATCTTTTTTCTCGATCAACTAAAGTTTTTTTGGATAAAATTTAAGCTAAGATTATAACATTAAATGAAATTATTATAATTACTGAGGCAATAACAAGAATTGCCTCCTCATCAGTAAATTGTATTATTTAAAAATAATCAAACCACATCACCAAAATGTCAATATAAAGCAAAAAAAAATAATCCTTGGGTAGTTTGTGAATGATTACCTTTTATTAGTCTATGATGGGCTCATGTAACTGTAACTGTAACTGTGATGTCAATAAAATTGCAGTATTTACTAAAGGGATTTGAAAAAGATTAAAAGAAATAATTCCGGCAGGAGGTCATGATGCTCCTAATTCGATCGCAAGTGATGAACTTCTATGAAAAAATGCTCAAAAGAAACTTACAAAAAAAAAAAAAAATGATGTATCATATTGATGAAATCATTTAATTATTCCTGAATCAGTAGTTATAGCACCAATTGCTTCTGTTAATGGTCATGGGCTGTAATCTACTAAATGAATGGAGTAATTTGAATGTGTAGACATTTATTTATAGATTTATATATATGTATATATATATATATAAATATAATAAATAACTAGTTAACTTCTCTAGAGTATAGAGTTCTTAAAACAGCAAATACATAGGATTGAATTATAGCAACAGCTGATTCAAGAACTAATAAAGCAATTTGGGCGATTAATAGAAAGGTAACTAATATAGTACATGATATTGAGGGCCCTGTATTTCCTAATAAAGTTAATAATAAGTGGCCTGCAATTATATTAGCGGTTAATCGTACTGCTAAAGTTGCCGGTCGAATTACATTTTTTTTATTCATTAGAAGTAATTGCTAATTTACTATAAAATGGTTAAAGAGACCAGTACTTGCTTTCAGTCATCTAATGAAGAATTTACACTACTAGAAATTCATTTAATAAAATAATTTACAGGAACTCTTTCAATTACAATTGGTAT